TCCCCTCCCTCTGGCAGCCAGGGCTCAGGTGGCGTTACCTTTACCAGGCCATCTTTAACATCTTGGGGCTCTGTCATTTCTCTCAGCTGGTGTCACTGACAAACTCGGGGTGTAAAATTCCCCATTCAAAGCTGACAGCAAAATTAAAAGTGGTTTTTAAAACTTGTGCTAAGAGAAGGGGTGACTGAGGATAACACATTCCTTGTCCAGATCTTTGGCTGGCAGACGTACTGGGAGAGCTGTACTTAATAACTCTAACTGAATTAGAAGGGATGTTTGGTGTTTGAACTTGTCGCCCTTTCCCTGTCTGTGCTGGCACATGGGGGTGCATCTTGCAGCTGAGGGGATGGCACGGGCTCAGTGGCCCTCACTGATGGTGGCATTCCCAGCAGGATTACATCCACCCAGTTCCACCTCTGCCAGCTTGAACATTCATGGCTTGGTGCTGCCTCCATTGAAGAACTCCCGGCTTGCCAAGGGCTGGGGTTGATGAGGGAGAGGCAGGCCCTGAGTTTGCATACGGGCAGTGTTCACACAGTACTTCTTGGAAACTGCTGATCAGGGTGTTGGTAGCAAAGGGCATGTGGTGACAGCCCTTTCACCACCATGGGTGCCAGAGGAATTAATCATGATTTACTGCTGACATGAATGAATTGCAAAACTTGAGATTCTCACCCGCTTGTGGCAGGCGATGTGCTCAATGCTGGGATGGACAGGGAGACCATGCAGGAGAGGTACAGGTGGCTCTCAGATGTTGATATTTTACAACAGGGGTGGTCTTCTCATTTCCCCTCTCCTAAATAAGGCTTAAAGCCTGCAGTGTGTGTGTAGGTACACATGTGCCAAGGCCATCCTGTCATTTCTGTGTGTGAGCAAACTGGAAATGTTTTTCTGCCCAAGTCCCAGAAGACATGATAAAATGGGGCACAAACTGCATGTCAGAGCCAGGAGATCCTTGTGTTTCCCACAGTAGCCCTACCTTTGCCTTCTCTAGAATTAATTTCTAATCCCTTGGTGGCTGTATGTGTCCCTTAACTAACTTGTGTCTCTCAATGCCAGACTTGAATAAGTCATTACTGAAGCTAAAATGATTTCATTAAATGAAAAGACATTAAAAAAATATATTAGAACTCCAAATAAGATGTTTTGCTTGCGTCCTCCTATAAAACAGCCACAAAGCAGAGCTTGCTGTAATTATGGGCATTACAAGTATTAATTTTATTTCTAGGAACTGGTGCCGGTGCCATGTACACCCTGCATCTCAAGCTGAAGTGCACAACACAATTAATGTCTAGACCAGTGCTGACAGAATTCTGCCAGGGAGGGNCTGGGGCTTTAATCTCATGTTCGTTTCAAATCTAATTTCTAGTGGTCATGTCTGTAACGCGGTGCGGGAGCACTGGCTTGGCAGGGACCTAGGGAAAAAGTAAAGTGACTCACCCGCCCTGGTGCTCTCCAGTAAATTAAATTAATTAAAACACCCCAGCAATTCCAGCTTCTGTCTCGGACCTGGAGCAGCAGGTCAGCTTCAAACCTTCTCTGCATTCCTCATTTTCTAGTCCAGGCAGAATTGGACCAGGTGCTCATAAAGTTGACTGGAAATTATAATCCTGTTTTATTAATTGCCATAATCAGAATGCTTGAAATTTGGATATTTGGAGTTTGATTTTTTCTGCATTGGAAAAAAATGACAGCCTTCTGCTGGTTTTCCTGATGGAACTGTGCTCAAATGTCCCATTCTGTGTGGAAAGCTCCATGCTTTCAATCTCTGTGTTCCCCTGTGTCCAGGAGAAGCCATCACTTAGAGCATCCTCAAAGCTGCCTTTGCATTTGCAAATCACAAGGGGGGAAAAAGATTGGGAGAAATGTTTTCGAGTCACGTATAACTGATTTCAGCACTCACTTTTGCTGATCTCCCACGAGTACCTTGCAAGTCCTTGTAAGTACAAAGGGTTTAATTCTCTGCCTCTCCTGAAATCCCTCTCTTGCTCCATCTCCCTTTCTAGCGTGTCACCAATGCGGCCCCGGCACTGCTGACACAGGCAAGGCCCTGCTGGGACTCTCCTGGTGGGGAGGGGAGCCCTGCCCATGCCAGCACGGGGCTCTGGGCACTGCCAGCTCCACACTTGTCCCTCAGGAAAGCCGGGTGGGCAGGAGGCAGCTGTGGGTCCACCAGCTGTGGGTCCATCAGCTCCCTGCCTGAGCCCCGGGCACAGCAGAGCTCTGGGTCACACCCGGCACTGCCAGCACAGGGAATCAGCTCTGGGTCACACCTGGCACTGCCAGCACAGGGAATCAGCTCTGGGTCACACCCAGCACTGCCAGCACAGGGAATCAGCTCTGGGCTGTGCTGGGAGGAGGTTCCAGCGGGAAGAG